AGTTCTCGAGTCGGATATTTCACTCCGGAGTGAAGATTTCTTCCATGGGAAACAGTTCTGTGGGTACATGTTGGTGGTTCGATTTGCCGACAAAAATTATGATGTGAGGTGAAACCTGCCAAGCAACAGTGGGGTTTTTGTGTCGTGGTTTCAATGAGCTGCGCAGCTGCGGAACTGAGCAGAGTTTCTGCTGATTTGGGTGTGGCGCAAAAGAATCTGGTCCCGAAAGACTAGGTATTATGATGTCTATTGTTTCTAGTGATTTCTTTCATTTATGACAGTTATAAGGTGATCATCAAGTTAGATATCGGATATCATGATGGTGACATGTACATACATATATATATATTAATATATACATGTATACTGTACATACATACATATATATATATATATTAATATATACATGTATACTGTACATACATACATATATATATTTATACTGTACATATATATATATATATATATACATACTGTACATACATACATACATACATACATACATACATAGATACATAGATACATAGATACATAGATAGATACATACATACATACATACATACATATACACATACATACATACATATATATATATATAATCATTATAGTCACCCAGATTCACCACGACGGTCGCGTCGCGTCGCGTTACCGCAGGTACCTTGCTGTTCCTCATCAAGACCTGTCGGGTGGCCATGGACGCTGGGCTCCTGAAGGTGCATCGCTGCGATGGCCCGACGCATTGGCATGTGACCCGTCGTTACCCGTCGACCGTGTAACGTCGTCACGTCGTTACCCGTTGTGTTTTTAAACAACGGTCGTAAAGGCTACGCTAAACCAAAGGTCATTAAACATGATAGGCTGAAAAACACATGAACATATGGAATATCCTTGATTTGCTGAATATATATATATATATAGATCTAGATCAATATAACCTATCATAGAATATCAAGGATATCATATGGAGATATATCTATATATAACATATATATGATATTTATATGATTCTTGATTTGTTGAATTTGTTGCATGATTATTTTTTTCTCCCATGGGAAATCCACTAGGACTGGGGAATGTGCAGTGGCTGCGATCCACCCCGGTTGGTTGATGTTGTTTCGTCACTAACACGGCTTTTCAACCAACTGAAAAATGTGTATACTTGTAATTGTATATAACTTTGACAGATAATAAACATGGTCAACACTTGATCAAACATTCTTGTTTAATGGAACACAAAAAGGTAAAACACAATAATGGGATCTATAACCAACCATTTCAATGAAATTGAAAACATGGGCAGTGTTCAAGACCCTGGTTGGGGATTAGGTCTTATACCCCCAATTCCGACGGATGAACAAATCATGTTCTCCTTTTTGAATGGCAAACTACCCTTTGGTAAACATACAAAAAGCTATTGAAAATGGCCATAGAAATAGTGGTTTACCCATTAACAATGGTGATGTTCCATAGTTATGTTAATTCACCAGAGAGTAACTGGGGTATCCCCTATTTTCACACCAATCCAATGTTCATATTGGCCCTATATCCCATTGTATCCCTACGAAATAGCTATTAAGTAACCATTAACTTTGAATACCCATGATGGGGAATGTCAGAACCAATCTATTTTGAGTAATGTCAGATTTATAGGGTATGAAAATTTGGTTGCCCTGGGTGACTGGGTATCCCATAGATTGTCAATACCCCACCAGAAACTTGGATTAACAAACCAACAAATTAAATCAGATGGCTATTCCTTTTTTAAATCACCATAAACACTTTGAATACTCCAATACTAGTTGTTGGTTCGGAACATGTTTTTTTCCACATATTGGGAATTTCATCATCCCAACTGACGAACTCCATCATTTTGCAGAGGGGTAGGTCAACCACCAACCAGATATAATAATATAATATATATATATATATACATATAGAGTAACTATACGAACTATACTTATATTGTAAATCACAATGCCCATTAATATTAACTAACAATTTTTCCTATGATTATATAATAATATACTATAGTTAATATTAAAGAATTAATGATTTATAATGGTTACTATAGTTATATAACTAGTTATATGCTATAGTTATATATAGTTATAATATACTATAGTTATTATTAATATACTATAGTTAATAATATACTATAGTTATAGTTATAGTCATATTATTGAGGAATGTTTTCACTACACCCAATCCTCCCTTCCGTAACCACGTTCCGGCCCGACACCGCCGAGCCGAGGCATCCATCGCGAAGAACACGGTGCACCTCCGGGCCACCGAGGCACGTCGGAATTGGACGTTGAAAAAGATCAACGAATGGATCATGAAAATAAGTGGATAATGAAAATAAGTGTTAACTATTTGAAAATTGGATAATTGGATAATGATAATGGTTAATGGATAATTGGATAATGAGAATGATAATTGGATAATGATAGTTGGATAGTTGGAAAATGATATTTATTGAAAATGGGATAACTATTAATTATAGTTATATTGATAATTTTCCAATGGATAAATGGATCCAATTCTCCAAGTGGATAACTAATAATGGATAATTGGATAATGATAGTTGGATAGTTGGATAGTTGGATAATGATAATGATAGTTGATATATAATAACTAATATTGCAATTTGGATAATAAAATTGAAAATTATTGAACTTAATATGGATCATTTTGATCGATATTTCAGATAAGTATTGGATCATTATAATAAAAACATGGATCACTATTTGAAAAAAACAATGGATTACTATTGGACAACTAATGGATGATTCATGGATAGTGAATATTGAATGGATAATACACTCTGATAATCAAAGATGACAACAGAAAATCCCCCGCTGATGATCGTCCGCTTGAACCTGTAAATTGACCAAGCAATTCATGTTGTTGGCTTCATGGCTTTGAACTAGTACCCTCTGGTAATGACTAACATAGCTATTGAAAATTGCCATTTATAGTTGATTTACCTATTCAAAATGGTGATTTTCCATAGTTATGTTAGTTTACCAGAGGGTAACTAGCTTCATTTTGGCAATGTGGGACCCATCCAAATGCCATGACTATACAAGGCGGTGCCCCCCCCGTTATAAATGGCTTCTAATCCCATGAATACTAGTTCGATATCTCACCAACAAAAACCATAGTGAAATTGGACTTGTAAATCAACTTAGCGATTCCGAACTGGGGCACCACCCTGTAGGGATTATTTTACATCATCCGATCGGGGTATACCCAGCGCCATAAACCTCCATTGGGTTGATCTCCGACCAGCCGATGGTTGACCTGTGGGGATCTTTACCACATTACTGACTGGGTGGGTCATGCGACTATGAAAGACGTCAATATATGTCAATTATGCAAATAGTATATATATATACACATATTGTATATATATATATATACATTGTGTATATATATATACACATATTGTATATATATATACATTGTGTATATATATACACATATTGTATTATTTTTTACATTGTGTATATATATACATTATATATATATATACTATATATATATATACATTATATATATACACATATTATATAGATATGGAATATTTCCAGTACCATATTGATCATGCATACATGGATGAAATGCCCACTGAGTGGGATGCATAGGTACTGTACACACCATAGCGTCCATTCATGGTCACCCAGTCATTGGTTGACAAATCTACCACTTGCTTGATCAAGACCTCTGTGAGATATTCCCCTGATCTTCACAGTTCAGCTCTTCCAATAAATGTCATTGGGAGGGCATGGGGGAGAAGGTTTTGAGACATCTTCTGGGGAAACCACATTTTGAACAAATGTGCAAGACCCACCCGAAATGTTTATTTTCTGAAGAAACATGTAGGTTTTCCACATGTATATGTTAGTTTGCAGTAGGGTAACCGGATATGGCCTCCAATCAACGCCCTTTTTCGTGGTTGCCGGTGGTTCAAAGCGCTCAACAAACCCTTAGTATTGGGGGGTCGCCTCTGGCGGGGTTGATTCGCCATCATAAATTATTGTAATACTTGATATCGCCCTACAGAATGTTATAGTATAGATGATCATTTCTTCATATTTTCCAGATCTCCATTGATTGATTCATATTTTTCCAGATCTCCATTGATTGATTGATATTTTTCCAGCTTTCCATTGATTGCAATGATGTTTCCTGCATATGTTCCAGATTTTCCATATGGAGGTTTCCTGAAATGGGTGTACCCCCAGTCATCATCCATTTATAGATGGATTTTCCATGAAATAAACCAACCAGCGAGCTTGGGGCTCCCCCATGACTATGGACCATGGAACTTGAAATCCCCATAGTCTTTATAGCATCAATAGTTATGAACAATCGTTCATCATCAATAGTCATCAGTAATCCTTACTTGGATGTACATATCAAGGATGGATTGGATTATATAATATATGGGTATATAACTCATATATAACATAAGCGCATTACAACCCCTCGCTGCAGGACATAGTGGTGAACCTTGATGCGGACAACATCGCCGGTCCCGGCTTTGTGCTGGATGTTCTGCAGCGCTTTGGGCAACTCGATGTCGGGTCGAATGGGAAACTCATTGTAAGCCCACAGATGTGATTCCCAGAGTATATTGGGATATATTGGGATATTATACATATTTTATATATATATTGGACTATGTGAAAGGGGATGAGTCGAACAGATGATGTATGATGTATGATGGTGTTTCCTCTGTTTTTGAGTGGTGCTTTACAAGAATAGCAAAGCGTTAAGTAACCGGAAGGTACCCATGTGGGTAAACGAACATGGATGTGGATGATCAACCATGGATTCTCCAAGATTTTGTGTGTCTGGGTAATGGGGTATAGCTCCAAGGAAAAGCCATCTACGGAAAATGATGAAGCATTGGGTAAAAAGGGATACACTATTTTCAGACAAAACCACATACACTGCTTGCAATTTTGGTTTTATTTGTTTAAACCAAGTCTCCCATCTTGATGGCAGATGTGCTTTTTTGATGACAGGCCACGTCACACGTCTTGTGATGGGCCAAGAGGTGAGATGACACGTTGACACGTTGGTTTCCTTTTTTGCAAATTCATAGTGGTTTGGAGTGGAAATGACAATGACCTTACTGGGTTGGAAACACCGGACATACGAACAACAACTATATATATATAATACACATGTTTATTCAATTGAAACAAATCCTTGGGATATGCCACATCCTGGAAAACTCACTAGAAGCAGAGGACTTCAATCTTCAAAGCGCTTGCTTGTTGATTTCCATCACAACTCATCCATGATTACGAGAACTGTTGTATCCCAGACCATTTTGATCCTGGTTTGATACTCTGCATCTTTTCTAGTGGGACATCTGTTCGATTCACACTTCTGTTCTTTTTAGTGCCAGTTGTCTCTGCCATCCAGAAATAGCAGTTCCTGTCATCAACCGAACTGGTGGCAGTCCGAGATACAGCAGTCCTGGCAACGCTGGTAACATCCTCCCTACCGGCAAGTTCCACCAATATGAGAAAGTGGTTTGTGGGGTACTGTATCAAGAGGTGTCCGTTGTTTCTTTGAGGTAGCAATAGCAGATCATCCATATGCAACCAATACATATCATTATGGTAATATCCATGCGTATCCATCCATACAGTATCCGTTCAAATCCATGCATATCCATCCATACATGGTATGATACCTACAGTTACCAATGATTTACCACCAAATAAGGGACTCCTGGAGGGCTCATCCCAATTTCTAGTGGTTAACAATCCATATGCAACTCGGATATCCAACAAACTATGGGGTTGTCATATGGCTATTCATCATTTTAACTAACTGCGACGCATGCATAGCAAACCCAAAAAAGATAGAACATAGTATTAGTTATTAGAATGTTATAATTAGAATGGCTTCCAGTGTTCTAACATGATAACATTAAAAGCAAACCCATATAACCAGAATGTTATTAGTCATAGTCATAGGTCATAATTAGATGATACCGACTTCATATTTCCAGGTTTCCCACTTTTCTATGACTTGGTTTTGTCTAGGGGTAAACTGATAACTATGGGAAAACAGCATTTTTAAGAGGTAAATCCACGAACTCAATGTTCATTGCTTCAATAGCTATATTACTGTCCCAGAGGATATATATATACCTACCATAGAAATATAAGTTACGGTAAGTCTATGGCCATACATATATATATATATCCACACATATATATATACACATATACATATACATATATATATACATACATATATATACATATATATATATACACATACATATATATATATATATATATATATACACATATACATATATATATATACATACATACATATATATATATATATATCCACACATATATATATACACATATACATATATATATACATATATACATATATATATATATATATCCACACACATATATCTATACACATATATATATATATATATATATATACATACATATATATATACATATATATATACATATACATATTATACATATGTATATCCCATCCGGCAGATGGGAAATCCCAAAACCCCCAGGAGGGCTCGCCTGGCAGCGTGTCACTACCGCGTGGAAGGCGTTGCGGGGACCGTGGGGAGAATCGCCTGCCGGCGACGCGACTTCCTGTATCTCCAAGGCTACGATGAGGAGGACATGGAGAAATAGTGGTTAATAGTGGGATTTCATGGTGACTTAATAGGAATTAATAGGATCTGAATGGATTTACTAGGAGATACCCTCTGGTAAACATACAAAAAACTATGGAACATCACCATTTTTCATGGGAAAATCCACTATTTCTATGGCCATTTTCAATAGCTATGTTAGTTTACCAGAGGGTATCGGACTGGGTTTCGAGACATGATGATTTCATATGATATCTGGTGGGATATGAAAAATGATATGAAACATGGGAATTCATGGGATATAATGGGATATATACCGAAGAATTTGATAAAATTGGGTACTAAACCCCTATTTTCCCCCATTGATTGATGATTAGTTTGGGGACTATACATGATCGGAATCGCCTGCTTGCAAACTCAGAAACTACATGAGTATGGGCCGCGCTTCCGACTGCGAAAATCCAAGCAATCAAACACGGCTTTGCTGGAAACTCCCCTTTTTATACCCTCTGGTAATTTATTAAATAGCTATTGAAAATGGTGATTTATAGTGGATTTTCCCATGAAAAATGGTGGATCTTTCCATAGCTTTTTGTATGTTCACCAGAGGGTAGATGATTTTCCCATAATCTCCATTATCTCCATTGATGGGGGATTTCCCAGCCATGGTTACCGGAGGGTACTAACTAGTTCAAAAAGGAACAATCATCCGACATGGCACCAGCTTCTGAAAAAGCACACAGAACTTGGGTTTGCCCACGAACATATACATATATATATATATACATATGGACCTTGGGTGAACGTGGATATTAATACTTAGATATTTCCATAAGGTAGAATGGGTTATATAATAGTTTCCAAGAAATCCAACTTATCTTCAGTTTCCCAATAAACATATGGCACAACATCTTTGGGGTAACCAGGTAAGCCACCCCAATTTCCAGACTCACAATGTGCTTCCTCATCCTGTTTGAGCAGTGTTCAAATAAGAATATTCAATTGCAGCTATAGTTGTTTGATCTTTGAGGATAGGTTACAACCTTTTTGATCCCCAAAAAATCACATCTCGGATACTGCAGGACGTGCACCCGGCAGGGGCGCAGGACATCGATCTCTGGCTGCGCTTGTCGATGCTGGCGAAGTCGCAAGAGCAGATCGTCGAGTGCCTGGGTAAAAAAAAGGGCGAAGGGCTTCAGTCGAGATCTGGTTGAAATCCTAGGCCCTTGAAATGTATGGGATTTGTGTGGACTCATAGGGTTTCATGGGGTTTACCCTCTGGTAAACATACAAAAAGCTATGGAACATCACCATTTTTAATGGGTAAATCAACTATTTCTATGGTCATTTTCAATAGCTATGTTAAATTACCCAGAGGGTAATGGTCTGAATAGGTTTAATGAAGCTCCGGGGGGTGTCTGAAAATATGGCGCAAACCCCTGAAACAAAAACATCGTTAGTCGTGGTTCATCACTTTTGACCAGCTTTGAAATGTCCCACAAACCATTTTCAGACACACCCGAAGTTCTGGGCCAGGTGTGCCCCCTGTTTCGAGAATGATAATGTTTATAATTATATATATAATATATATATATACATACTATACATATATATATATATACATACTATATATATATATATACATACTCTATATATATATATATACATAATTATTATCCATCAACGTGGGGATTAAACCAACAAGAACTTAGGATTTCAGCATTTGTAGTTGATGTCTTTTCTAGCTAAGTTACACCCTGGTGAACTCTGTTACGTTTATGGCTGCTTATAATTTGCGGCCACCATGTGGAGGATTTACCATGCATGTATACAATGTATACCCATAATTAATATGATATTTGTGGTCCTGACTAGCGTATCAACCAATGGTATTGTCCAGAAATGGGGAAGGCATTATATAACCAAAACACCATCTTTGGAGGTACACTACATTCACATGTTTATCTGACCCATTGCGATGTTTCAAATATACTGGATGTGCCTCTATACAATCCCAGATGCAAGAGCTGCGTTGGTCACTTTCAAGCCCACTAGACTTTATGTGCTGACTAGATTACCATCTGGTTATTTAACATGGCCACGGAAAATCCCTGAACTAAATGGAGGCATTTAATGGAAAAGTCATCTATTTCTATGGGCCATCTATACCATGGCTATGTTAAATAACCAGAGGGTATTTGTTTCAGGCTGGTAAATGATTTTAGGATGGATTCCGCTGGCCTCTGATGGAACTTTCCAACTCAAACCGTGGCAAGCGAAGAGCAAAGATTTTCACAGGCCCATTGCAACGCGTTTCGTCCTAAACTGGACTCTTCTGGCGGCCTGAGCAAAAATATGCTCGGCCAAGGCTATCAGGTGAAGCTTTTTTCAGCATCATCCCAACAACCTTGCATCTGAAGCTTTCAATTGTTTTTTCGAAAAAAACCCACACCTCAACCTCGTCCCAAACCCTGTGGGGTATCATACTAAAATAGCCAATTGCGACAGAAATCCATCCTGAAGATATTCTTCTGGACCCTAAATGAGAGAACTGGTTTGGCCGGTTTTTTCAGGGTGCTTTGCACCACATGCCAATTTCGACGGAGTGCATGTTGAATCCATCTGGCGTTCAACGTGCTTGTGTAGGTTTGTCTGAAAAAGAACTTGTTCTCTTGTCTCACTTTCTGCTTTCGCAAAGACAATTTCTGCAGTGTTTTCTCAATGAGCTGCGAACACTCTGCTACACTGAAACCTCTGAGTTGCAACCTGCGCAAGAAAAATCCAATGTGGTGACGTAAACGTCCAGCATTTTGACAGTTATGTCGAAACAGTCTCTGTGTCTCTCCGACTATCAATGCAGTGTAAACGGATTTTGGATGGCAGGAGGTCCTGGGAATGTAAAGGTATGCGTTCTGTGGCTTGCGATACGTCTGGATCGCAAACTGCCCCTGAGCCAGCGAGATGTCCAAATCTAGAAACACAACCCTCTATCCTGAAAAAGAAACTTCCCACTGGATGGCAGGATGCCACTTGTTCAATTGCTGCTGCACAAACTTGACACCGCTTTCAGACAGGGAATGGAGCAATGCAAAAGCGTCATCAATGTAGCGTCGCCATGTCAGAACACATCCGCATTCATTCAGAACAAATTCGTCCAAATCTGCTAAATAAAGGTTGGCAAAGATGACTGAAGCTGACAAGCCTGTAGGTAGGCCTTTGTCAACGCGCCATATTTGATCACTGTGGTTGATGAACTGGAAGCCCAAAACAAATTCCACGAGGGTAATCAAGAAACTTGCAAAAGAAGCTTTGGCAGCCCAAAAAGTCCGTATTCTTCGCGCCAGACAAGTCATGAAATGGGTTCTGTCCACGCTTGGGTACAAGTTTGAAATGTCAAAGGTTGCAAGGCATGTACTTTCAGTCACACGCAGTTCCGAAAGCAAGTCCAAGATCTCCACACTAGATTGTACCACATATGACAGAGAAGTTGCTGCTGGCTTCAAAGTTTCGACCAAAAAGGCTGCAGCTGGAGCAAGCCAAGACTTGCCCAAGTTGAGAATGGGCCTTCCAACCACTGGGTCTTTGTGCAGTTTGATTCGAATCCTGAATGTGCCGGCTTTGTTCGCACCAAGGTCTTGCAAGAGAAAGTCTACCTGCTGCCTGCAAACAATCCCAGAATAAAAGCTTTGCCAAATGAAACTCTCAAACCAGCATTTGAACACAGCACTCTCCCGCAGAAATTCATCTATGGTGGAAACTCGTGCTGCTTCATGCAACAGTCTGAGACACTCTGTTTTCAGCCAAACACGGCTGATCAATACATCTCCCAGGTTTTTGTCCGCATCTACGACCGCAACATCTTCTTTGTGTCGCGCAAGCCATTTTCGGGCAGCACGATCTACGAAGTCAAAGTTCTTGTTTTTGGCCGACGGAACATAACCATGAAGCTCACTGCGAAGCATTCTGCAGTAAATTGCCACATCTGGATCCTCTGGGGGCACCCATGTGCTTTTCAACCTACATCTGCTATGGTCTACTCTGGCAACCCCTTGTCTTTCGCTGAAAAAAGCAGCCAGATGCAACTTCCTCTCAAAAAAAGCCACTTCATGCAGCACCTTGGGAACTGTGCTGCGGAACGTGTCAGGAATGAACTTACTACCCTTGGCCAAGTACGATCGCACGAAGGCTGGGATGTCAAACTTCGGCGGCATGAGGACATGGACAGGGGAACAAAATCTCCTTTCTAGCTGTACAAGGCTTGTGTGTGTCTTAGCCGGTGGAGAATGTATCTGTCTTGGTCTATGCTGAAGTCCTCATTCCAAAAACTTTTCTTCCTGGTACGCCGTTTTCGCCCGAGACTAACTGATAGTCAAGAGCGGCGTGGGGCGGGGGTCTGTATGCGGGTGTGCTTCTGCCCTTTCCCGTGCTTCCCTTTACCCTTTCCTTTGCCCTTGCCTTTTCCTTGACCTTTACCTTTGCCTTTGTGTGCTTTACTGGCTGAGCTTTTCTGGGAGGCATTGGTTGTTCGGCTGGTGCTTCGGCTGGTGTGTCTGGAAGCTCGGCCTTGTCTGCTGGCTTTGCTGCTGCGTGCAATGCTTTTGCTTGAGCCCCTCGTGCCTCGTGAGGCCTTAGAGTTGGACCGGTCGCGGTCGGTGGAAGCATGGGCTTGGCTGGCAAAAGAGATGTTGTATTTCTTTGCAAGGTCAGGGTGGGATTTCATGAGAAAGGCTAAAGCCCCCCCGCGTGGTATTGTACGCTTCTTGTGCTTTGCCTCGCTTCCGCTCTGGAGTGACGAGTATTCGAGGACTGCCATGGCGAGAAGCTTGTTGACATCCATGAGTCGGAACTCGGCCTCTGCTTTTACAAGTGCCTCTTTTTTGTTTGTGTGTTGCTCCCGTTCACGCTCGCAACGCGACAGTGCTTTTGGCTGCTCTGTCCTAAAGGTCAGTTCTACAAAGAGCTTGACCTGCTGCTGGAGGCTTTCTTGGACACTGGGGGTGAGCACTGCGCGATTCTTGCGAGTCCAGGCATGGAGTATGTCTTCGGCTTTGATCATCTGACGGGCTGTGCGCACCTCATCCTGGAAGAACTGGGTACATTGCCTTTGGTAGGCTAGAACAAAATCATGGCACTCTTTTGCGTGTCTCCGTCTCATTGCTGCAAATTCATCTTCAATGTTGAAGGGCGGAGCGTTTCCATCAGGAAGCTCGAACTCATCCGCTTCCCCATCAGGCAAGACTGGGCGCATATGTGTCATCTTCTTTGCTGTTGCTTTGAAAGCATCTGGCCACTGCCACTTTTTCAGGGCTTCAGTTTGGAATTGCTTGTGTATTTCACTAGCTGCTTCTAATTCCTGATATTTGTGCTGAAGTCCCTGCTGGGTGACTGCATGGTTCAAAGAAGACTTGTAGTCCTTGGCCCACTTTGCTAACTCCCTCGCTAGGCTAGGATCGATAGCGTCAAGAATGTCCTGCGGCTGGGTATAGGTTTTGCTTGGGTGTGCGCTGTACTGCTGCTGCATCAACTTGAGTTGCTCGAGCTGCTCGGCTAGCATCTGATTTTGCATGTTCTGCTCTTGGAGGAGTTGAGTGAGCAACAGCTGGCTGGTAACTGGCTGTGGCTGGTTCTGGGCTGGTGTTGGCAAACCTGGGGGGCCTTGTAGGATCTCTCTGGCTGTCTGGAATGCCCGTGGCCTGACCTGGGGGTCGTGGGGGACCAAGGGTCCTGGGGAATCAGCTCTGCTTCTGCTGCGTTGGGCGGTGCTTGCATTGGCCAAGTTTCCTCGTGGTGCCTCCATGGTGAATTGGATTAATCAGTTGACTTGCACTCTGATGGAACTTTCCAACTCAAACCGTGGCAAGCGAAGAGCAAAGATTTTCACAGGCCCATTGCAACGCGTTTCGTCCTAAACTGGACTCTTCTGGCGGCCTGAGCAAAAATATGCTCGGCCAAGGCTATCAGGTGAAGCTTTTTTCAGCATCATCCCAACAACCTTGCATCTGAAGCTTTCAATTGTTTTTTCGAAAATACAATAGGCTAAAAAAAGTCCTCAACTACCTTTCTCTGCTGATTTGAGCTGTGTACATCTGGGGTTCCATCTTCCAACTCCGACAAAAAAAACCTGCTTCCAAGTGGGGGCCGTCTCGAAAATTGGTCCCCTAAAAATCCAATGGTTTATTATTGTAGAATCTGGATGAATCTGGCAATTTTGGAGCATTTCAAACTTACACCCATTTTCCTAACTACAGAGCCGCACCGTTTGTGGCATGCCCCACCCAACCAGCCGACGCAGGAAAGTCAACGATGGGACAAAGGCGATGGCAATCCGCAACTCCCTAGAAGAGAGACCTGGCGAACTGTCCTAGTTATATCGCTGGTTATAAGTTGGACAAATAGGGTGAATCCACCTACCAGAGATATAACCTACTTGCGATTCGAGGGGCCACCAAGATCACCAAGTACGACTGGGGATCTATATGGCATTTTTTTGCGCTGGAGGTTCCATAAGCAAATCTAAGGAAGACCCAGTTCACCAACTCGCATTTGAGCTGGAAGCAGATGAATCAAGGCTGGGTTTCCCGATGAAAATCTCGGGGTTTTTGTGGGTTGACCATCAAAAGGGTGGAGTAAAGCAACACAAAAAATAAGATATGTCGGGGTATCCGGAGTATACCATTACTATCCATTACTTAACTACTTGGTCCACCGCTCATATCGGACCGTGATACGACATGGTATTTTTTCACATTTTCATGGTATTGAATGTTGATAATTCCAATGGGAAAAGTATGGGACCATCAAATAAGCTTTGAAACGCGTAGTTCCATTGGGGAAAATTTGTCATGCGTTTTTCTCATTCTAATTTCAATACGAAACGCGTTTTCCAGCCGCACCGAACTATCAGTTTTTTTTGCATTTAATCAAATGTCTGAGTTCGCAGTTATAGGGGGATTTGGACACGTTTTTTCCCCATAGGAATTGTGTGTTTTTTACAACTTCCACCTGTCAGGGTTTGCAAGTCAACTTGTTTCTCTTCGACCGTTCGAAAGTCACGTGGCTTTCAGTAATCTTTTCAATGCTGAATAGAACTCGTTTGGTGTGGCAGGCATGACTGACTGTCGGTATAGAAAGACAACAAACTTGTAGCGTAGCATCATCTTCCAGACGCAAGTGCCAGGTACGTTAACACACCCGCCCACCCCTCACCCCCTGGTGACATGACGCAACTTCCAAGACAACGTACTTGTAGCGTAGCATCATCTTGCAGACGGAAGTGCCAGGTACGTTAACACACCCGCCCACCCCTCACCCCCTGGTGACATGACGCAACTTCCAAGACAACGTACTTGTAGCGTAGCATCATTTTCAAGAGAAGAAGCCAAAAATATCCAAAAATGCAGTAAAAACCCACGGATTTTTTCTTTTGGCGGTGGTCCAACTACTTGGGATGATTTACAACCGTTTTTTTTAGTGCTTGATCATTGGCTGGTTGTTGGTTTGGATCATTTTTTTTTCCATATATATATATATGGGGATAATCCCAGCTGACTTTCATATTTTTCAGAGGGGTTGAAACCACCAACCAGTTGCCCATTGGGGATGGTTCATTATCGTGGGTCCCCGGAACTGGATTGTACACATACTAGAATTACTAGAACTGGATTCCCACCTCACAGTGGAGCGCCATTGGACTCGGGCCATTTCATATAGTCCTGAGTTTTCTTCGAACCCCAGTAGTTCCAAAAATTCTACTAGCTATTTAGTCTACATGATTATACTATTAAACCAAATGAACACTAAACGATGTATGTTCCCGATTAGTACCCCATGAATCCCCCATTTGTTCCATGATTCCATTTATGAACTTGATTGACTACATCCGTCTATACTATTTAATCAGTTCCATTATGGTGATGACCCTCTGGTAGACTAACAGTAACATAGTTATGGAAAATTGATGATTTATAGTTGATTAACCGATAAAAAATGACCATTTTCCATAGATATGTTGGTTTACCAGAGGGTGTTTGAACATCATCAATGTTTATCCGCTAATGTGGTTCTTTTGGATTAATCAGACTCTTAAACCACACTAAACCAGCATTATCAGATCATCATCCCATCACCTTGTGGATCCCACATCAATGCTAAAACCTTTTTAAACCCAATGAAACTCTATTAAAGCCCTTATAAATGATATATATATATATATACATATCATATATATATATATCATGTATATCTATTATATATATCATGTATATCTATTATATATATATATGTATCATATATATATATATATGATATTTATGTATATATTTCTATTACATATGTATCATATATATGGTATTATATATATTATTTAAATTTGATACATGTATATATATATATATACATATGATATATTTATTTGGTATGTATATATATATATATATGATACCGCTATTTGATATTCATGACATATATAGATATTTTAAAATTTATATTATATATGTTATATATGATATATATATGTATGTATGTATCATATATATATCATATATATATATATGATGTGTATATATTTATATACAGCATATTTTAATGGTTTAAATAGTTCATTTAAATATATTTGCCATATTTTTGATATATATATATATGTGATTTATGGTCTATTCATCAATAAATTTATTATATATTATATATATATATTTATGATATGTGCAGATTAGTTTTCCCACCATAATATGTATGATATATATATATATGATATATGTTTAAATATATATATATATATATATGGTATATTTGATATATATGATTTGTATATATCTTTACGACATATATATATATATATAATACTGCTATATATTTTCAAATGATATATATATATATATGTGGTCTATATGATATATATGACATATGATATATATGATATATATGATTTATATGATTTATATGATATATATATATATATGATGTATAAGATTTATATGATATATATATATATGATATATATATATATATATGATATATATATATGATATATATATATATATGCATGATGTAGTATATGTGTCTATACGATAAATATATATATATATATATATATATGATATATATGTATATATGCAATATATATATATATGATTTTTTATGATATGTATGACATATATGATATATATATATATATGATATATTATATATGATATATATGATATATATATGATATATATATATATGTGTTATATATGTGATATATATATATATATATATCATATATATATGATATATATATACATATATATATGATGTATATATATGGTATATATGATGTATTTATATATATATGGTATATTTGATATATATATATATATTTATGGTATATTTGATATATATATATATATATATATGATATTTAGATTTTTTAATATATATATATATATAATTTTGATATATATATATATGATATATATTATTTACCTATTATACATATATATGATATATATATAATATTTATGATATATATATATAATATATATAATATTTATGATATATATGATATATATAATATTTATGATATATATAAATGATATATATATATATGATATATATATATATGATATTTATGTTTTTTATTTTTAATATATATGATATATATATATATTTATTTATATATATATATATGATAAATAGTTACCTCCTATGTACATATATTACACCTTTTATCATACCATATATATATATATATATCATATATATTTTGTGCATTATAAATATTGTTCCAACTACTCCCCCATCGCACCCCCTACCTTGTCGCCAGAAAACTGGGATCTCTTCGAAGCGCGGCGGGCGACTTCAACCACCCTACGCCGGAACACCAAGACCAGGACCGGGGCGCTGAAAAATCCATGGGGGGCCAGGAAAAACCGATCACGTATAGATTACCCTCTGGTTATTTAACATAGCCATGGAAAATCACCATTCTTAATAGGTAAACCATCTATAAATGGGCCACTTTCCATGGCTATGTTGGATGACCAGATGGTAAGTTCAGGTTAATTACAGGGCTGACGCAATGTATTGTAGGGAAAGGTGAAATTCATGATAAGACGTCTACGTATACTTTGCCAATTTCCTGCCCTTGTATCTGGGGTGTTTGTTAAAGTTGGGTTTCACATCTCATTCTTTGGCTCAAGACCAGCAAAGCCAATGTTTGCCGACTGGTGATACTAGCCATCAAGAATCATCAAAATAGATACGACAAATCCAGAAAAGTCCATACCCATAGGATCCATGTATGGTATATATGCTAACATTTACCATCAATATACCCCCAATGTTAGCATATATACCATACATGGATCCTATGGGATAGAAATCCATGAGCATTCATCATCTGTAGACCATTTTGTGTGGGAATTCGATGAATTTCTCAGGACTTGGTGGACGGGCAACCATCCAATGGACATGGAAATAGACACTGTTTGACTATTTGATGGTAAATCTATGGATTCTATTTAAATATATTTAAATTAGATGAATTATTTGTGGATTATCAATGAAATAGACCAATCAAGAGTTTCAAAGAGTTTTCCAATGGTCCATCCTAGCTGGAGGATTTGGGGATGGGTTGTAATTTTAGCCTTTGTTCCTAACTTCAGAATTCCAAGGTTATAGTTGAATTTGTCTGAAAATACGTACTCCAAAATCTCGTCATATCTGGTCTATCAGATATATCATGTCCGAGATCAAAATGGCCAAAAACTAGGCACAAATACCCCATTTTCAGATACCCATTTGTTTCACGCGGCTTGGGACAACGAGACAGGGCATTATTTTTATTGGTGTTGCATCCCATCAAATGTGGGGATGCACCAACCATGTGATTTCCCTAAGTGCAAACGCAGAGGGTTTATGAGGGTTTTGGATTATTTGAAGTTTTTTTTTTCAAACATCTATCAATAGTTATATATATATATATATATTGCAATGCACATATATATATATATATATTGCTCACATTGAAACAAATCGTTGTAAGATCTCATGCTGTTGACGCCGAAGCTCCGCAGGCAGCTCGGCCTTCGGAGCAGGGAGCTGCGCTTCGTGCAACGGACGTGGCATCTGATCGAATGTGTCACGACGTCACGGAAAGTGGGAAAGTGGGGAAAACATGGGTTTTATATGGTGTTTTTTTTGGTGGTTTGGATCATTTTTGATTTTCCCCAATAGTTGGGATGATGATCCAATCTGGCTAATATTTTTCAGGGCGGTTGAAACCATCAATTAGTAATGCGTTTATATGGTGTCTATATGCTTTTAAATTGCTTGTACATGTTTTAATAGGGATTATTTCATAGGATATATTCGGAATCCCCGATAAATGGAGGTTTATATATCTGATATCTATATAGTTAATGGAATATTCATGGGATGTTGATGGGATATAATGAAATATACCCTCCAGTAATCAAACTGGTTTCAAAATCGGAAAATCTTCGAAGTCAGGGCCCTGGTCAATGGTGGGGGTTCTTGCTTGCCATGTTTGGACAGCCCTCGAGGTAACCGTTGAAACTAGGGGGTACTCCAAAAGTTCTGTTTCAGTTATGGCCATTTATCAGTTACAACTGGTTATAAATGGGATTATACATTCTATAAATGGGGTTATAAGTACTTATAACTGAGAAATGGCCATAACTGTTGGGGATTGTGAGCCGAGTTGACCTCGCTGGTTAGTTGCTGACCGCTCCAAGAAGTTGGTCGTTCTCCTGTTGGATGTTTTGGTTGATCGTTCACAACGTTGCACATCCACAACGTTTGAGATTCATGATTTATGTATATATAGTCATCCACAATAATATAGATTCTAGATGGAAAAGTAAATCCATTGACTATATTATTGGGGATGACTATATTTATGTTAATTCATTTACCTCTGTGGGTTGACCCTGGCAGTATGTCATTTTGCTACCGCCGGTAGGACAGGCAGTTCCTGGGGATCACCCCAAGGGTACCAGTGGTTTTTTTTGTCGATTCATCTGCTGGCAGTTTGAACAATGATTTAAGAAAATACCAATTGGATTATGATAATAGATAATTTAAGATATAATTATAGATGATAGATGATAGATGATTTAAGAACAATGTTATTGGATTATGATAATTGATCATTGGTGATACTACAAATAATGCCAATTATATAGATGATAATAGATTTACCCGGCTTGGTAAACATACAAAAAGCGACATAGAAAATGGCCCAGTCGAAATAGTGGATTTACCCATCAAAAAATGGTGGATCTTTCCATAGTTACGTAAACGTTTACCAGAGGGTACATGCATAAGCGCGTTATACGATATGAAATCACCAATTTCTTAAAAAATTAAGCATTTGACAAGGATTTACAATGGTTTCCTATCTTAACTCCCAGTGGAATGGCGTTTGGAACCCCCGTTCCATCCGAGGCTGGGACGAGGACGCAGCTGCCGCTGCGCTGTCCTCCTCGCCTGCTGCAGCATCTCCAAGGGAGGAAGTGGAAGAAGTTTAGAAACTGGGCAACTCCGCACACGTGTAGCACACATGAATATGAGGAACATGTGGGTTTAGGATTTATAATCAACCATAATTTTCATGGGGATATTTCATGTGATATACAGGATATATCATATGTATCATATGATTTTCATGTGGGTGTGTCTAAAAATTGGGTATCCACCTAAATAGCTACTTAAATGGAGACTATGATTATGAACCATTGGATTTTGGGGTACCGGTCCTCTCAGACAAATCCCAAAAAAAAACAATTAATAAGACTTTAATGGGATAAACACTGGTGGAACACCTACTGAAATGGAATTTTTCATAGGACCTATGATAGGACATTAAAGCCAGTTTATAATGGGAGATGTTCATAGGATTTAAATGGAATAAATAAGCCGCTATGGATTTACCGTAAGCATCCCGAAGCCATGACCTATCACTGAATGCCCTGAGATGCCCAGGACACCACCGCCAAGAACCGCCACGGCTGAGAATCCCCGCAGATGGGAGGCCCAAGCTCAGAGCGAAGCTGCTAAGGCTGGAGTGGTTTTGGTGTTGATCCATTTACCCTCTGGTAAACCAACATAGCTATGGAACATGGCCCATTTATAGTGGATTTACCCAGCTAAAAAATGGTGATTTTCCCATCAGTTTTTTGTATGTTTGCCAGAGGGTTGCATATTGTATTTATATCCCCTTCGAAGTTTCGGGCCGGTTGAATTCCAGAAAAATGGAGGAACCACCCTCAGCCCACCCTGTACACCCCGCATAACTACCAGAAAGATAGATTTTGAGAAGATCCTGTTAACATTTAGTTGCAAAGTCCTCTTCATTTTTTTCCGGAATTCCTTTCTCCCTTTTTATATCCTTTTATACTGAATACAAGGTTTAGTACTATATAGATGGATGCATTTTTCTTGGGACCCATCATATCGGAGGGTTTTCAATATGATCAGGGGATAGGAATTCAGGTAAAATCATGGCTTCTTCTTAGCACCACCGTGTCTTGCAAATTGTTTTTTCCCTCGTGTATAAGCTTAGTATTTTTTTGTGTATATGAACAAACATGGGAGGTGTACTACATCCCACCATTCATATTAAACAGTCCTCCAGGAACCATGCTACGACGGGGATGAGTTCCCTTCCGGTGCGATGCGGCAGGTGGCCTACGGACCTGGTGGTGTCAAGGGCTGAGACGATAGAGATCCTCCTGGCTTCCTATGGGAAGCGACGAAGGTGTAACTTGGAGCCTATGGGAAATCCATGGAAATCCTTCCATTGATGTGAACATAATGAAGATATGGGGGGGAATTACGATATTTTGGGATGTAATTGGCGTGATAAATGGGGATGTTACCAACAAAAATGAATGAATCAGGATTTAATGTGATATTTAACCAACAAAGGTGGTATGACAGCGATTCAATGCAGATATCATGCGGATAATCTGGATCATTTTAACCGACTTCACTGTGATGACACTGGGAAGTTTATTCATAAGGGAAAACTGGCCGAAAATTGCAGGTTGTTGAATTATTTTGCTAGTATCTATAGGTATGAACATCTCTATTGATAGTTATATAGTTGCCCATTGATTCCATTGATCTATCTATTTGTTTGTCTGCCCATCTGATTCTGTCCCATTACAAGTCTATATGAAGTCTATATGCATGTTGGTTAAACTTTACCGGCCCCTGAGTACTACCAGTACATCGCATTCAGATGCATTCACAAACATGTGTGAGAACAGGTGCATGTGGTAGGACCCTCCGAGTGATTAGAGGTTGCACCGGCTTGATTGACCTCACTACGGTGAGTCACTACCTTGACATTTTTTCAAGGGGAATTATCCTTAAATAGCCGAACATTGCAGGTTAGTGAGTTAACTATAATTATTCCACGCATGTATATACACATATACCAGGAAGGCTTCGGTTCGTTTAGGTTCGTTTCGGTTCGTGGAAACCTCAAATAGGGGCGGTTCGGTTCATCAGCAGGCCGGTTCGTTTCGGTTCGCGTGACATGGCGGTTCGGTTCGGTTCGGTTCGTGTGACATGGCGGTTCGGTTCGGTTCGGTTCGTGTTGTGTAGTGTTGCAGGACGAGAGGTCTTTGACAGAATGGGTGTGGATGAATATCAAATAGGAATGTTATGTTGCAGCAGAGGGATTTGGTTTTTGAATATGTTTGAAACTGGTGGTGGGGCCGAGTGTTTGCAGCATCTAAATAAGCAGTGTCCAAAACCACGGTTTTTTGATGACTAAAGTGTTTATGCTGTTTCTTGGATTGGGGATAATGATTATCATCATCAACTATTAGAATTCTTACATCTAACCAGTGTACAGTGAAATTGACAGATCCATTGCCAACGGCATTTTCATTTTGCGAAAATCACTTTCAGCTGTCGAAATCCAGTCGTGGCCGGCAGAGGTTCAATCAGCAGCCAAATGCCATTTTCATATGGCGAAAGTCGTTTTCAGGCATCGAAATTGAGGCAGTGCCTGCAAAACCCAAACATTAGCCAAACATCATTTTCATTGTGCGAAAATCAGTTTCGGAGTTGTTTTGGCAAAAAGTGGAAAAAAGTTGTAGCAGCAGCAGCAGCAGCAGTAGTAGTAGTAGTAGCAGTGCAGTAGCAGTAGCAGTAGCAGTAGCAGTAGCAGCAATATAAGTAGAATGAGTAATAATAGCAATAAAGAAGTAATCAGGAAGTAATACTAGTTCTAGTAAGACTACGAGTAAGAAAAATAGTAGCCTCTCGTAAGCGGTTCCCAAGCAGGTATGGGTCCCGACCGGGCTTTGCCGAACAGGAACGGGCAGAGAGGCTAGTAATAGAGGTAGCAATATAATATACAACAGTAGGGGTGGTGATAGCAACAGAAATAGTAATAGTCGCAGCAGTAGTAGTCTAGCCATACGAGGACGAATACTATTAGATGTTTTCCTTAACTTGATTTTCACTGCGCGAAAATCATTTTCGGAGTTGTTTTGGCAAAAAGTGAAAAAAAGTAGTAGTAGTAGTAGCAGTAGCAGGAGTAGTAGTAGTACTAGTAGTAGTAGTAGTAGTAGCAGCAGTAGTAGCAGCAGTAGTAGCAGTAGTAGTAGCAGTAGCAGTAGCAGTAGTAGCAGTAGTAGTAGCAGTAGCAGTAGCAGTAGCAGTAGCAGTAGCAGTAGCAGTAGCAACAATATAAGTAGAATTAGTAATAATAGTAGTAAAGAAGTAATACTAGTTCTAGTAAGACTACGAGGAAGAAAAATAGTAGCCTCTCGTAAGCGGTTCCCCAGCAGGTATGGGTCCCGACCGGGCTTTGCCGAACAGGAACGGGCAGAGAGGCTAGTAATAGAGGTAGTAATATAATATACAACAGTAGTGCTGGTGATAGCAACAGTAATAGTAATAGCAACAGTTCTTAGTAGCAGTAGTAGCAGTAGTAGCAGTAGTTTCAGTAGTTTCAGTAGTAGCAGTAGTAGCAGTAGTAGCAGTAGTAGCAGCCAGCACTGATCATTTGCAATTCCTGCAGCACTTTGGCAGATTATGTTGCGCAGGAATCCATTCATTACAGTTGATGCCTCTTTCCAATTTGATTTTCAATTCGCGAAAATCATTTTCGGAACCCCCGGAAGCTGACAAAATATTTTTTTTGAGAATGTGGAACCGGTTCGGTTCCATTCGGTTTGCGTAAAAATAATTGGCGGTTCGGTTCGTGCCGGTTCTTAGCCTGCCGGTTCCTGAACGGTTCGGTTCCCGGTTCACGGTTCGTTTCCTAAGCCATACTGATATACATAATTATACATACATATATAATATATAACATATGGGTATTCATTTTTGTTCTCTTGAATCGCCCCTTTTCTTGTGGGGTTCACAATCCTGTGGCAAACTCTCAGTGCGGATGGCCTGGGCTCACCCGTCAGCCAGTTCCTTGGATGTTTCGCAAGGGCGCTTTCTGAATGTTACCCCTATAAATTAACGATGATGGGGAAATTTTAGTCATATATCATCCATAATATATATATATATAATATTATATATAGTATACATATTTATACCATGTTTCTAGGGTATTTCCAATTGGGATTTATGAACACTCCATTTACTGAAGCATAAAACGTAGAGACAGCATGAAGTTCCACCATGTTCCAGCCGCAATCTCCCTGCGCTTCAGGTTGTGACACCGGCAGCTTCAATGGATTCCCGTCGTGTCGCACGGCGGAAGCAATCCACGCCTGGGAAGAGCATGGTTGGCGCGCTGCTGATCCTCAGGCTGCGATGGAAACTTGTGAATGGCAAAATCAAATAGAAAGGGTGTGCCATTGGCCATATCTGGCAATAGGCAATCGGTGGTGTGCCATTGCCAGTTTAGATTCTCGGAGGGTTGTTAAATGGAGAGATGTACTGTAGCCAATGTTTACCCAACTGTTGTGGATATGGTGTACAAAAGTCAGCACGGCGAGATACGGATAGACCAACAACATCGAAGGATAGAACAACCTAAGGAGTGAGTGTGCATATTCATACAAGTAAATGATACCATCTTAAGGTATTTGGTAGAAGTGAATGAATCCATTTATAGGTCCATGTTTAGATGTTCCAAGATGCTCGACATTGCCTTTCTTTCACTTGTCACCGATCCTCCTAAGATATTGACCCGAATGTAGGTCAAAATCCGCCATGGAAAACCTCAAGATGGATCATCTTTCTTTAGCAAAGCAATGATCAACCACCCATATTTCAAACCCAGTTGAAGCAAACTTGGGGATGGTTTAGTCGGTTCACTCTTGCCTAATATGACGGATCATGCTCCGCAACCCCCGATTTGTTTCCTTGGTCCTGGCCAGGTGCAGTTCCACCTCCTCGAGATGGTGCGGCTAGAAACGGCCCAGTGAGCCGCGAGAAAAAGTGCCGGGAGGGACGGGGCCATTGCCATACTTGGCTCATCCATGCTCATCGCGCGAAGCTTAGGTTGTTATAATGCTAGTTATGTTAGAGGCTGTAGGTAGATGAACGTGACTCCCACGAACATAACCAATGATATAAGCTACTTATGATTTGTGGATGAGCTACCAAGGAGCCTCCCAAAAAATGCCGGTTTTGAGGACGGGGAATCATTATTCATCATGGAATGGCATGGATGACCGTAGGGTGGCCGAAACTTAGGGCCATTCAATCGTGGTTACCTGGTTGGTGGTTTTAAATCGAATGTGGTTACCCCCAACGCCATATTAAACATTATTAACCGGAGGGCTATTTTTTTTTCGCGGGAGGTTTTTTGTTGGGTTCCTGGTTCTATGCTTTCCTGCTTCTCTGCTTTTCCTGCTTCTTTGCTTGTCTACTTCTCTGCTTTTCTGCTTCTCTGCTTTTTGCTTCTATGCTTCTCTGCTTTTCTGCTTTTGCTTTTCCTGTTTTTTGTTTTTTCTCTGCTTTACCTGCTTCTTTTCTTTTCTGCTTCTCTGCTTTCCCTGCTTCTCTGCTTTTCTGCTTTTGTGCTTCGGTGCCTTTCTACTTCTACTATTCTACTTTTTCTTTTCTCCAGTCATGTGTTTTTGCTGCTCTACTTCCTGCTCCTCTGCTTCTTTGCTTTCCGTCTTTACTGCCTCTTTGGTTTTTCTCTTTTCTTTTGCTTTATTCTCTCCTGTTTGTATCCTAAATGAAACCCTAAACACCTTAGGTGAAACCCAAAGAAACCTCAAGAAATCCTGATAAGAACTCCTGAAAAGAAACCCCTACATGAAACCCTAAATGAACCCTAAAGAAACCATAAATTAACCCTAAAGAAACCATAATTGAATCCCTAAAGAATCTTTGAATAAAACCCTAAATGACATCCTAAAGAAACCCTAAACAACACTCTTCAGGAAACCCTTAATGAAACCCAAACTGAAACCCTGAAGAACCCGTAAACGAAACCCTAAATGAAACCCTAAATGAAACCCTAAAGAAACCCTAAATGAAATCCTAAAGAAACCCTAAAGAAACCCTAAATGAAACCCTAAAGAAACCCCAAAGAACCCTTAAATGAAACCCTGAATGAAACCCTAAAGAAACCCTAAATGAAACCCTAAAAACAAATTAAAGAAACCCACATGAACGTTTAAAAATCCTGATAAGAAACCCTACATGAAACCCTAAAGAATCCCTAAATCAAACGCTACATGAAACCCTAAATGAAACCCCAAAGAAACCCGAAATGAAATCCTAAAGAAACCCTAAAGAAACCCTAAATGAAACCCTAAAAAACCCTAAATGAAATCCTAAAGAACCCCTAAAGAAACCCTAAAGAAACCCTAAAGAAGACCCAAAGAAACCCACATGAACGTTTGGAAATCCTGATAAGGCATCCTGATAAGAAACCCTATATGAAACCCTAAAGAAACCCTAAATGAAACTCCAAAGAAACCCTAAACCTAAAGAAACCTTAAATGAAGGCCTAAATGAAACCCTAAAAGAAACACTGCATGAAATCCTAAATGAAACCCTAAATGAGTTCCTAATGAAACCCTAAATGAAAGCCTAAAGAAACTCTCAAGAAACCCACACGAACGTTTGAAGTACCAAAATGTAGCAAATACCATGCAAATGAGAGGTTGAAGTGCCAAAACGTGGCAAATACCATGCAAAATGGAAGGCGAACATGGCCAAATGTAGCAAATGCCATGCAAAAAATGCAAAGTAACCATGCCAAAATGTAGCAAATACCATGCAAAGTGCAAAGTAACCATGCCAAAATGTAGCAAATACCATGCAAAATCACAGATTCTAGTTCCAAAATGTTGCAAATACAAGGCAAATGGTACCAGGAAAGAACACCAAAAAAAATCCAAAACCTGAGCCCAACAAAAATCTAAAAACTATGCTGAACCCTTTGAACCATCGCACCAACGTCATTTTACATCCCAGATAGGGGGATACTTCTGGGTATGGTATTGTTGAGTTTACCAATACCCTCTGGTAAACTAACAGTTTGCTATGGAAAATCACCATTTATGATATCTGAATCAACGAACTAAATGATCATTTTAACTAGCTGCGTCAAATTACCAGAGGGTATTGTATATGTTCAGATATTCTTGTCCATCCTAGACGGGATGATGAAACCGATTTCTTGCGGAAAGGCGTTGATGTGTCCAGTACAGTGGCTAGCCATGTTCAGTACACATGCCAACATAGTGCTATATCACTGCTATATATTATATGTACTGATATATTAAGATTTTTTATGACATCATGATATATCTTGCGTGATCAACAGAGCATACCCAGTAGTTGCCATGAAATTCATGCATACTCCGGACCCTAGCAGGAACCAGTCTTTCAAAAAAATCCGGGCAAGGGATTGCGAGAGTTCCTACCCTCTGGTAAACAAACATATCTATTGAAAATGGCCATTTCTAGTTGATTTACCCATGAAAATTTTTGATTTTCCATAGTTTCTTGTATGTCTACCAGAGGGTAACATTGCTATCTTCGGGGGAGAGACACATTTCACCAAAAAAATAGCTCGGTGACCCTGGAGTCTCCTGCGCAGGGAAGAAGGATCAAGTGGACGTGTATCGCTTCACAGGCCGGAAGCCGGTTGCGATCGATCTGTCGATCTGTCGAACAGGGCTGGGTCGACTTTGGGTAGTTTACTGGATTGTTTTTTTTGACAAAAATAATAAATCATCCTCAAGTTTGAGGTTTATGATTGGGTATACCATGGATGATTTCCTCAATGAAAAGCCCCAGTATTGGGATGATTTTCCACGATTTACCCAACCAGCCATTGGTATACCTCTACTTGGGATGATGTTTAAACATGTTTAAACAATGAAGCCCCCGTCAGACTGGTTGTTTTTCATGGGATGCTGGTTGGATGGCCTTGGTTGAACCTTTGTCCTTTGAGGATTTTAGTGGTAGGTAAGAACTCATGATGATCAAAACAAAATTTGACCATCATCAAATAAAGATCCATCCTCTTTGAGAGCATCATTATATTAATTCATATTATATATAATATATCATGATCATATTTAGATTATGAGATTCTCATGAGAACTCTTCACCTGACGGTCAAACATTCCCTTCAATACCCTGCTCCAGTCGGCGTGAGGACAACTAATCCCACGGCGCGACCGCGAGCGGAAAGGCGAGCGGGAAACTTCCGTGGTCTTGAGGAGACCATCGATGATTTTCGAAGGGGGCTGAATCAAATGAGTGTTGAGTTATCAACACATGGATTTGTGTGGAGCATATCAAAATGAGTCTTTAGTTTATTAAAATGAAAAATGACAAATACCAACATTTGTCATTAAAATTGTCTACAGATATGGGGAATGTGGCAACTGTACCAGCAACAAATATGGTTCTAATGAGATCTAATATATGTTCCATCGATGTTTGTCCTCGAAGCTCAGCTATAACACATCTAGGTTCAACATTTTGGAGCCCAGAACTTCAAGGACCGACTTGTTTCATGTAGCCGAGGTAACTTCAGATTCCACGGTCCACATCGGTCTGCAGGGTAATCTCCTGACTTCTGACTGTTGCCAGTGTACGGCGCAAAGATATGCTCGGTGGCTTAGTTGTTCAATTTGAATCCCATTAGTTAGGTTGCTTCAAGATCTTTCAGGTCTCATTTCTCATCATGTCTCATCGTTTCTCATCATTTCTCATCATGTCTCATCATGTCTCATCCCTAAAAATTGGATCAGCAATCCCAGCCAAAACGGTCAACGGTCAGGTCTGCAGGCCTCTTTGCTCTCCTGGGAGGAGTGGCCAGCAAAGGAGGAGCCCCAGTGATGATTGCCCACGTAACGAATCATGATGTACCCTCTGGTAATTTAACATAACTATTGAAAATTGCCATAGAAATAGTGGATTTAGCCATTAAAAATGGTGACTTTCCATAGCTATGTTAAATAACCAGAGGGTACATCATGAATCATATTATAATTAAATGATACATCATGATACATCATGAATCATTGTAACCAAGTATTTGGACTAGTATTACGACTGTAGTATAGATTAAATTATTTTCATATCCCCCTCAACCGGAACGTTAAGCAAACCAGTGAACTCTGCGATATTGTGATCCTCCAGGTGCGGAGACCAAGCAGCAAAATTGGTGCAACATCAATCGACATGTTGTGTTTGGAAATCTTGAATCCCGAGAATATTGCAAAATACCACATCAATAATTCACCATATTCACCTTGGTAGGAAGCCCCGGTGTTTGCTATTGAAGTGAGTGTTCTTGTGTTGGGCCAAGTTTGGGCCTGCTGCAACAAAGGTATTATGTTTAAAGGGACTTGGCGAGGCATTGCCACTCCTGGAAACATCGTAAGTTGGTGATTTTTTTTGGTAGCTATGTTTGAACACATATTATGATTCAGTAAATTGTTTACATTCACATCTGATCAAATCTTCACCTCACCAAAAGCTGAGACAACTAAAACAACTAGTTCTTGAACGATTGTTCTGGAAAAATTATAGTGAGCTCACTGCGACCTCACTATGATCATGGTTAGGATTCGGGGAATTATCCCAATATAGCCGAACTTTTCAGGTTAGTGAATTATTATACTATATCATTATCATTATTATTATTACAGGAAGGGTCCCCCTAGTATAGTTACAAGTTTGTTTATAAACCATAGCAACTATATTGATATTACCTATAGCCTAAAAACATCTATAAACCCTACTTATAAGTCAACTTGTCTAACTACCGGGCCCCTTCCAGCGTATTGTTGCTGAAACCAGGAGCTGTTGGCATCCTTGGATTTACAACTGCAGAATCGAGGCCGCCGACATACGGAAAAAAGCCTTGGATCAGGGTGGTGCCCCCCCCGGCTAGGTATAGATAGATATATGATATATGTATTTTTTATCTATAATGACATAGTATCGATATATTTGTAGTGTAATCCCCATCTTTTTATAAGTTGGTTTTTAATCCCCATGAAGTACATATATATATCTACCAGTAGTACCGCACAAGGCGGTGGCGGAAGTTTCAGAATAGGAAACCTATAGGAGACGTTGGTTGTTGTGAATCACGGATGGCAGAGCGAATCCACTGATTGACCGAAAGGTGGTTGGAGTTGTGTTTGCTGGAATGGTTGCAATGGTTGCAGTGGTCACCTCACCCACAACTGCTGGATGTAGTGTGATGTACTGCAACTGTAGTTTGTAGCTGTAGCGTAGTGGAGTTGTAGTTGTGGTGTAATGCAATTAGTGTAGTGTAGTTGCAGTCATATAGTTGTAGCTGTAGTTGTTTTGTAGTTGTAGTTGTAGTTGTTGTAGTTGTAGTTGTAGTAGTAGTTGTTGTTGTTGTAGTTGTAGCTGTAGTTGTTGTGTAGTTGTAGTTGTTGTGTAGTTGTTGTAGTAGTAGTAGTAGTTGTTGTTGTTGTTGCTGTTGCTGTTGCTGTTGCTGTTGTTGTTGTTGTTGTTGTTGTTGTTGTAGCTGTAGTTGTTGTAGCTGTAGTTGTTGTAGTTGTAGTTGTAGTTCTAGTTGTTGTGTAGTTGTGTAGTTGTAGTAGTAGTAGTAGTAGTAGTAGTAGTTGTTGTTGTTGTTGTTGTTGTTGCTCTTGTTGTTGCTGTTGCTGTTGTCGTCGAAGTTAGGGTAGTTAAGTTAGTGAAGTTAGTTAAGTTAGTCAAGTTAGTGAAGTTAATCAGTGTCTACTGTTTCGACATCTTCACGTCAAAAAAGGCTCAAAACCCTCAGTTTTTTACACTTTTGACTTCGAAATGTGCTTCGCGCCACAACGGCGTGCACTTTTTCGACACTTTTTCGACATCTGAACCTCCAAAAGTGGTCCGAACCCCTAGTGTTTTGTACATTTTGACTTGGAAATGTGCTTCGCGCCACAACGGCGTGCACTTTTTCGACATCGGAACTTCCAAAAGTGGTCCGACCATGGTGTGTTTTGTACATTTTGACTTCAAAATATGCTTCGCGCCACAACGGCGTGCACTTTTTCGACATCGCAACTTCCAAAAGTGGTCCGACATTGGTGTGTTTTGTACATTTTGACTTCAAAATGTGCTTCGCGCCACAACGGCGTGCACTTTTTCGACATCTCAACTTCCAAAAGTGGTCCGCTCCTCTAGTGTTTTGTCCATTTTGACTTGGAAATGTGCTTCGCGCCACAACGGCGTGCACTTTTTCATGTCTCATCTGGCCAGCTGGCTCCGCACCCGCCGCTTTAGCGAGCCTACTTTTCGACCCTCCGGAGCCACAAATCATTGGAAAAACACAGTGAATCGCGACTTTCCTATCTTTTCGCGCATCTACCTCTTCTTTCTTCTGATCTTTTCTCTTCTGACTCTTTTCACCTCTGCTTTTCAACTGTCCATATTGTCGGAAGTTTCACTTCTAAACTTCCTTCGATTATCTATATCTACCAACCCAAGATATTGAAGTTATAAACCAGCAGCCCAAGCAGCTATTGGATGGTTAACTCAGATCGGCTGTGCCGAATGGCTGGAGAAGACTGGTGAACTCAAGACGTCGTCTGTAGAAAACTCTGAAGTCATGTCAGTCCGGACTTTGAGCTGATGAAAAATGCTGGGAAAACCTTGCTTTGTTTGTTTGGTCAGTCTACTTTGGATGTTCTGCCAAATCATGTCAATGGATACCATAGCCATATCAATGGATTGATGTTCTGCCACACATGATATGATTGCTGTTTTTTTTGCCATAAACGTCGGTGACACATTGAACATATCAGGTCCAATATTCTAAGTCTTATCCACCTTTATTCATGTCGTTCAATGTTGCTTTTTGTTTCTTTTCGAAGGGCCCACCTTGCAACAAAAACATGATCACATGTCCCACAATCATGATCCATATTAGTCAATGAAAAAACATGAAACAATTATTTCATCAGTCAATCATTGCGGTAGTCATGTTGTTTAAAGAAAACAAAAACATTGTCCAGCAATGTCTATCATAAATGATCATATTCAATCAAGCGGCAGCTATGATTATCAGCCAAGTCATGTTTTGTCAATCAAATCAGGAAACCAAACTAGCAGGGATACGAGTAGAGCAGGGATATGGGTTGTTTCCTTGGTCTCATTGAAAGCTGCCCTGGTGATATAGTTCCTGTTTATCGTATACTGACAATGAGGTTGCTCATTCCCTGAGGATCGGTGTAAATAAGTAGCGCCAAATCGGATAAGTATATGGAATTTGCATATCTATCTATGTCTTTCTTTCTTTCTTTCTTTCTTTCTTTCTTTAAACAGCATTTAAATCTACATACAATGTACCTACCTACCTACATACGTACGTACGTACGTACATACATACATATTCATACATATTCATACATATTCATACATACATACATACATACGTACGTACGTACATACATACATACATACTTACATACATTACATACATTACATACATTACATACATTACATACATTACATACATTACATACATACATACATACATACATGTTCAATTGTTTGTCAGGATTATGAATATAACACATAATCAACTGTTTGTTGAGTTTGATATATCACAATTCCAAGTCTTATAACCTTCAATAACCTTCATATTCCCAAATACTGTAATGCTGATGAAGCCATACATATAATATTTATGTATCATTGTTTATATATATATATATGATATGTTCCATAAAGATGTTTTGATAGTGTTTGATACACATATTATATAACATGCATATATATATATAATTTATATAATATACATAACCTATATACACCATACCATTTTCGTGTGTTTTGACATACAGATATATTATGACATTATTATATATTATATGTATGTGAATATGCAATAATATTTCATAAGTCCCCACATTCATGTTATATACACATCCATTTTTAGCCTCTTGGTAAACCAACATTCAGATACCCACTAGTTGTAGATTATTTTTTCCAACAGGTAACCGTTAATATATTTTCCACATACAAACCGTTCGTTTACCCCAGGGTCGGTCATCATAGTATAGAATCATAATAGTCATTAATATCCTACACATGAAATATTGACATACTTTATAAGATTAACACATTTCAATCCTATGAGCACATCCCCAACTATTAGTTGGTTAAATCCCCATGTTCAACAAAAATCCCACTAGATCATCATACAATTCCCTTGTTCATGATCATACAATCCAATTTTTTCCATCACCATAAAATCCTAACTTTCATCACCAAAAATCCTAGAAAAATCACAAGCTCCAGGCGGCTTGGTGCTGGTCCATGGTGGCCCCGGCAGTGGCAAGACGGAGCTGGCCGCGCACGTCCGCGCCTGGGCCATGGAGCACGACTTGACGGTGCTCTCAGGACGCGGATGGGCCGATGGGGGGTCCCTGGGAATTTCTGGAGGAAAAGTGAGGGTTTTTTTTCGAAAATGAGAAAATTCTCCAGAAAATGGTGATTTCCTCTGGATCCAAATAGCTTCTGAGAAGTTTCTTAACTGCCTGAATCCAAACACTGCCTCAGAATGTACTTGGATCCCATAGAGATTTATCCTGGATGTAGAGTTTGTGTACAATATTTAGGGAGTTATCCAAAAATAGGTGGATGTTGGCCAGAGCATGTTGGATGGTTCTGACCAAATAGGTTGATTTTTGCCAGAGAAGCTGGATTTATTTGATAGAGAGACATATGTTTAGTAGGATGGTGTTTACTTGCAAATATATTATGTCGATGTTTGCCACAAAAATGGGATTTGCCACCTCTCCCCCAAACAAGTGGGTGTTAGCAAGAAACATTGGACTTATCCCACAAACTCAGAGGTTTAAGAACGGGATGGAGCTAGAAACATGGAATTCAACACCAAGAAAAACGGGGATTGAAGCAAAGGCAAACAGATTGGAACAAGCCCGACTGACACAACTACTGACGATTGATATGGGGACTGGATCAACATACATAAGGGTATAACGCGCAGGAGCTGTCATTTTACCAGCAATAGGAGATTTCAGCAAGCAAAACTGGTGGTTAACATAGCAAGTCATTTTGACCGTGGATTCAACAATGGCATTGAGATTTGACGATGGTTTGCTTGCTGAGGGAAAACGTTGTTGAAAATTGAAAATGCTTAGTTGCGATTGATTTGGTTTTGAACAAATCCATGCTGTTGAAGTGCGAAAGCTTGGCCATGAAATGTGACCAGATGTTGTGGAGCAACACCGCGCCCCCCGAACCCCGAAGGACAGAATCAAAGTCCCACGGGCACGATCACCGTTCCCCGACTATGTTGGCAAGAGGCCCGGGGGCTGTGAAGTTCGCAATCTGCTGGGATGGGCGGTGGTGAGGCTGCAGTCTGGAGGGTTGATGGCTTCTGAGGATTTGAAGTTGATACAGGACTGAATAGGTCGTGGTAGTAATTGGCAATTGGTAGTAGTTAGATCCAGCAGCTAAAGGTTGGCATTGATATTTTCATGTGATTGAATTGGTTGTTCATTGCAAGCTACCAGAATTTGCAGGACCCAGCGTCACAGCCGAATTTAAGTTGCACAGGGCTGATTTTTTTCGGTTTTAACAGCTACAAACAATACATCCAACCTCGATTATGGTGGTTTGTAGTTTCCTCTTGCAAACTTGCTGGATTGGGCCCAAATTTCTTTCAGTCTACAATCTTTTACAGCAGCAAACCCACACGGGCGCACTCAGGACCCGTCATTCCTTGAGTTCGCAGCCTTTTTTAACAATATCGAATTGGATGGTATTGAATTGACTGGATGACATTAGATGCTGAAGTACACCATATCCAAAATGATCACATCTAATTTGTGTCGAACGTTCACCACATTGACATCCGGGTGTTTTTTGGCTGCATCGTTCATCATGTTGTTTACCATTTTACGCTAACGAATCATCTGCTTGGTGTTTTTTTGTTTGCAAGAAATATGTTTGTCACCCCCAAGCAGCAGCTGGGATGATGCTCCCTTGTTGAATGATGGTCTCCAAGGACCAGCATCAGGGCCTCAAGAAAAACATGTCTTTTGATTTTGATGTGTTTTTTGTTTTTAATAGCCAGAGACTGAAAACCATGTGGTTGGTTATTGACTGAAAACCATCTGGTTGCTTGTTGGAGATCATCATCTGGTATGATTTTAGTCTGGTTTTCTCCAAGCTGTAAAACAAAACAACAACACTCCGTTTACTTAGTACGATCAGTTTCCCAGCTCAGCTATAAGCTTCCATTTGCCCAGCCGTCTTGGATGACACCAAATGGTAATTCCCATTTAGATCCATTATCTTCCCCCGTCATTGTTGGTTAAGTCCACATTATCCACATTTCATCCCACTATAATCCCACTAAATTCTCACTATACTTCTCCTTTGTGGATGTTTGTTTATTGATTTTCCCACTAAATTCTCACTACATTCTTATTGAACTCTATTCAGCTCCGTTAAACACCCATGAAACCCCATTCAATCTTATTAAACCCCATTAAATCCCAATCTACCTCCACTAATGTTGGTAAAACAATGCCATAAACCATCCCCCAGTCATGACCATTTTTATAGGTGGTATGGTTACCATTCCCAGTCATGGGTGGTTTATGGCATTGTTTTACCCGATAATCACAATTATATTCCCAATAATCACCATTAAGTCACCAAGAAATCACCATTGTAATCCCAATTATTCATCATTAATCATCATTAATCATCATTAATCATCATTAATCATCATTAATCATCACTAATCACCATTAATCATCATTAATCATCATTAATCATCATTAATCATCATTAAACCAGTTTGCAAAACACATGAAACGCAGGTCTTCAGCGCTCTGCTGAAGGAAGCACGGAGCGATCC